CTCAAATGCACGATTCGAAATTTCCATATTGTTCGAAATGTATAGGGATATTTAAAATCCTTGTGAAAATTAATATCAATATTTGCCGAAAATACAATCGAAACATTACATTAATCGACGATTATCTACAACACTTATTGGTGTAAATTGAGTGCGTTAAAAAGTGATTATCTAAATGCATGATTCAAATATTACAAATAAATTTCTGTAGAAAAGAAAAGAATTTTTTTTTAAAAAACTTCTCATAAGAAAATGTTTTTTGCAAGAACTCTGTAACTATCTGCCACGGGGTTGTTAACTTAAACAGAAAATAAATAAAAATAACTAGTTAATCTTATTGATTCTATAAATAAGATATAAACACGATTATGGCATTAATATAGGAAAACTTATAAATCACATAGCTGCCTTTTTATTACAGGAAATTAAACTGTAACAATTTTTGAATCCAGATTCAAATTTAGTGATAATATGAGCAAGCCGTTTCTTTTAGATAAAAATATAGTTCTTTCGAGAAGTGAGGAAAAGGTAGATTGATCCTGAATTTGCTTTATATAGAGTTTTACAAAGGATTCCAGTTACTCCAATTAAAACAAGACTTTTTATTGGACAGTTCAGAAAAAGTTTGTGGGCCCTCTCTTTATGTTTTACAATAAAATTTGCAGAAATTTGAAATAACGATAGTTCAAACTACTGAAAAATCGGATATTTCAAATTCTAATTAAAATATAGGAAAAATACTAAGATTGTGAACGAAACATATCAGAGTTTCATACACATACATACTGGAGTAAATAATTTGTGTATTAAAATCTAAGTAACTCTTGATTGCGTAACATTCTATCCCATCTAACGAACAACATATGAAGGGTGTGTTTTCTTAACAGTGTCTATTCTAGCCTTCATTATCTAGTTTAAGGAAAACAAACAAGTTCAACAGATTCTGCTAATTTAACCTTTAAGGCTTCACCAAGACTCAATACATGTGGCATTAGGAGCACCCTCCAATAAATTGTTTGCAGGTGCTTGTTATGTGAAAATATTCTAAAACGAACTAAAGTTACATTCATTGAAAAAAAGTCTAATTTGCTCTGCTATTTAGCCTAACGACGCAGCAAGATAGTTACGCTGCTCAAAGTCTAACTAATACAGCAATCTTAAAAGAGATGTTTCTAATGTGCATATTCAATCAGATAATGACTCTGACATTCCTGAAATGGATTTTAAAACTGTTACTGTTTTTTTCTCTCTTTTTTTCCAAATCACATTTGAGCTTTCAAGAACTTTTGAACCAAGTCAAGATCTAAGGAAGAAATATGGCCTCTTGAATTCTATAGAGTTACCCTTATTATTTTCTTACAACTCTAAAGAAGGAAAACAAAAGAAACGTGCCCCAGGAAAAAATTCATAATAGTCACTGACGAGCCTACAAGATTGAAAATGAAAAGAGAGTTTGCACTTCAAAGAGAAGCTTGAAAAAATCTCAGAAAAAGTCACCAGTGGTGGACAATCCTGACGCAGTTCTCCCTTCCAACTACAGCCATGGGAACGATTAGCTCAGAAGCGTTTAAGCCCATGGATCTTCCCATCAACTAATTTGTCTTCACGAAGACTTTTCTGAGGGTTGCCCATAGATTATCCCACCAATAAACTGGAGAGTGACCTGACTAATGTGAATTTCCATCTCTTCAGAGTAACACAGATGTTGTTGTCTTATGCCACTTGTCAATACTGGTAAGCCTAATTTAAGGCAAGGGGGTGCACTTCTTGTTTTCCAGTTGCGCCATCTATAGCCAAGAATTTGACTTTTACCACAAACCATCCATCCATCTGCAGATTGTAATTTTAACCGAAACCAGAGCACGATCAACCTCCGATTCAGAACTTCCAGAGGTATTGATCGGTTATGGGAACTTGGGCGACTCTGACAGACTTTGCATGCACCAGTCACCATTTTGTACACAGTGAATCGACCGACAGGGAAAGATTACACCATAGTGACTACCATGAATAAAAGCCCCTGCCACTCTTCATAGCATTATTCAATTTCAATGAACAGCATATAGAGATTTATGGACAATCTGAACTTGCTGGTTATCCCATCCAAGTTGAAAGGCTTTGTGGTGGTAGGTGCCAGCTTAAGTGTTTTAAATGTCACAATTTCGGACATGTACAAAGACACTGCAGCTTTCCCCTAAGTTGCTTAAAATGTTCGACCTCTCATTTCACATACAGAAAGATCGCCAGTCAAGTGTGTGAAATTACAGCTTCAACCATATTACCTTTCTGACGGCTCAGCCAGGACAAAATTATTTGAATTCCACAAGAAGTATTTGCAAATTCTTTAAGTAATATATCCTTCCCAGCAATTACAGTTTCCTTTGAAAACTAAATATCACTTATAATATTTTACAACACACATTAAATTATCAATTTCTATGAAATATGTAAAAACTTCACAAATGTTTCACTGCATTTTCCTATTTTCAATTCAAGACTAAATAATTAATATAAATTCGCCTTAACATAACTTTGTAATTTAGGTTCATTTTCTTAAACCCTAAAGAAATTGTACTTTCATTTTTTAAAAAAAGGGTGGCCAACACAAGTCATAAGTAGCAAACAGAGGCTATTTTATGGCATACTCACCAATATTAAATTGAGAAAAAAATATATAATTTCGTTTTGTGGAATAAAATATGTGTATCTATATATCTATTCAATCTTTAATTATGTTAACTTGGAAAGTCAAACTATCAAAAATTAATAAGTTTAGAAGTGTGCTTGTTCATGCACTGCTCGATATGTATTTCTAAGGTACAGTTGATCTCTTTCTATGTAATTCAAATGATATTTATTCCGAAGGTTACATTTATTTGGGTATAATTGTGAAATAGAAGTATAGCTTAATCTTCATTTACCAAACAGCATAAAAAATACCTTAATTTTCAAACAAATATTAATCTTTGTACTGGTATAATTGCTACATTTTTATTATAAAAGGACAATTTATATTTATTTTTACTATTATTAGATAATAACTTTTTCATAACCTTATGATTTTAGATACAATTTAACTTCAAGATTGCTCAAAAACTGCATTGTTAATTAATTTCCTGTTTCTACTGATTAGCTTACCATTTAACAACTAAACTTTTTAATAACAAATACACATATTTGCTTCTCAAACAATTTCCAGTTTGCTACTCTTGATTAACATCTTAATAATCCTGGAGGGAAAAAACTAAATGAGGGTTTTACAACTGTAAAAAACTTCCATGCCTTACATATGCAAAACAAGAGTCAAAATCAAGCTTAGTTTTTTTTAACAGTAAATTTTACACACTGCAGTATATCATGTATTTTATTTTCTATCCTAAATTAAATTGGGAAGTTGCGCTGTTTGGTTTTAATTTTCCTTATTATAATGATAACTACCTAATTTTAGCTATAAAAAAATACCAAGACTTTAAATTTTTTGTTTAACAATAAGCAAAACACAGAATAAAGCCCAATTAAGATTAACTCTGAAATTTATAATACTTTCAATCTGATTGAAATACCCATTTTTTAGTGTACACTTCCTTCTTTTGTTTTTGTCTTTACATGAATGTACAAAAAGCTCCAAAAGATTTTTGAAGAGAGAATAAAAAAAGTACAAATATACTGTTAAAGAAAACTTGACTGTTAAGAGTAAAATCATATCATCCACACTTTAACAAGCTAAAGCCAGCTGGCAATTGCACAAAAATAAAGAGATTTTTATACATTCATGCAAAGCATTATCATGTAACCATCATTTGTTCTTCATCAGCAATCAAATCAAACACACATCGTTCAGCAAAGAAATTTTATTGAAACAGACAATCTTGCGTAATTTACAAACCATTGACTCAAGACAACGCACAGCAAATAAACATTTACCAATCATATCCAGTACATACTTTACTGGCATAGATAATGCCATCTATTCATCAAATTAGTATTATCAAACAACAATACTTGCATACAAGAGAATTCAATACTCACACTCATGTTTAAACACTTTAAGATATAATAGATATAACATGTATATATAAAGAGAGTAGTATAACAGTGAAGTACAAGAGTTTCGACATTTATTAGAGAAATAAAAGAACTGTCACGCTTATTGAACACTTTACTAGCGAAAAATAAAGTATCTCTAAAAATTTAACAATGGTATTGAGAAACTTTTAATACCATTTTTCAACATTTTTTTCATTAGAATGATTTTTGTCATCTTTAAGTAGTAGTCAATTATAATTATATGCAGTGACAGTTCGTTTATTCCTGCTTGAAGCATTAAATCGAATGCTACAAGATAGTGAAAGGAAAAATGAAGCGTTTAAAAAGAAAAGACACAAGAAGCATATATACCCATCATATAAATCTAGAATATAATTATTCTATACCCAGTTTTGTAATATCCCTAGAAAATGTATAGAATTTTATAAAACTTAGTTTTCAAATGCAGTCAGATTTCGTTATAAAATAAATTTAACAGATTTGTAACAGCAAAATTAGTCCTTACTATTTTTTAATAAATTTATTTAACAAATCAATACCTTTTTGAAATTGATTAAGTAGGTTTAAACACAAGATGCGTGTACAGAGAACACAAATTTTTAAAGGTGATAATAATTTAAACTATACACTCTTGATCAAAGGAAACAATTTTAAGTAACTGTTTTAGTCCTATTAAGTTTTTTGTTAACTTAAAAAACTCTTAACAGCAGTTTTTTTTCTTTTAATAATAAAACTATTAAAATAATTCAATAATGTAATAAATATTTTCACAAAAGTATTAATAAAATATCAGTATCAATAAATATCTTTTAAAAAGGCAAATCAGTTAAATTATGAGACTTACAACTAAGCTATTATTTAATAACTAAAATGAAATTTTAAGTAACAAATTTAAAGAAACAACTTCTATTAAATATAAAATAAAAATATGTTGCATAAAGACTTAATTATAATAAATGACTAGTATAATCAGTGAAATGACACTGAATTGCCTTTTGTGTTAAGATACTGATAATATTTGTTAATAGTGCCATAACTTATCATTCACTATACGGTTTATGTTTAAAATGCTAAGGAAATTTGCTAGAAAGGGAGAGAAAAAAATTTATTTTAAAAACTACATGTTTGTTATTTTATAACCAAAATGAGTGAGTGGTTAATGATAGTTAAAATTACCAGGAAAAAACTTAAATACTATGTCTCATTGGAAAAGCAATGGCTATATTTAACGAAATCCCACAGCATTTAAATAAAATCAAGCATGGAATTTTTACTTGACATGCTCGTCACTTAATACAAAAGATTTTGAATAAAATTTTATTTTGCCGTAGCAATTACAACCTGCAACATTAGTAGAAAGATAAACACTGTTTAGTTTTTAAATGCTTCGGAAAAGAAAAGCTAAATTTACAAATCTGTCTAGAAAGATAAAGTAGCTTAGTGAAACAGCAAATACTGAAGTTATCACTCTAAAGAAGATGTTACAAAAGCAGTAGATTGTGCAGCATACAAACATCACACTGAGTATTCAACAACACAGTAAAAATAATTTAGTCTCTGATCCTATCATAGTTTTTTAACTGCTATGTATCACCCTTATTAATTTCCTCTGCTTGTTGATGCTTTTTAAAAACCCAGCTCATTGAGCCAATTACATAAAACCTTTTTCAAAGGCACTTTTCCATTGAAGCACACTATCTCATTTAAACACGCACACAGGAATGATGATACACATCCAATAAACACGTCAATGAAAGGTGAGATATATAAATTTTGAGAAATGAACATGATGTTTGTATTCATCGTCACTCAAAACCACTTTTTCATACCATTAAATAGTCTCATGTTCACGTAAACCATTTACAAAATAAAATTTTGAGTCAAAACAAAAATCACAACTTGTTCAACATGAGTTACAATATATATATATGATCATGAAAAAGATGAAGGGGGCATTGAACTTTCTATTTCAAAAAACACAAATTTGAAGTCGAAAAAAAAAAAAAAACACATTTGCATGTAATAAATGCAAAATATCAACCGAGTCTCAATTTATATATCTCTATAAAATAATAGCAAGCTTTATGTGTAAGATAAAGACTTTTAAACACAAAACATATTTTAATAAAAATATTTGGTGATGAAATAAAGTTGCACTACTTTTACACTAGTGTTATAAAAAAAAAAAATTCTGTTTGTTATTTGAAATTGAACAACCATTATTATAACAAAGCAGTGCTGAACCATTAAAGCTTTGAGGTTTGGGACTTGTAACAATTCATAATATTGCTTATAAGTTGTTCTTCAAAAGAGAATTATTTCTTTAAAATTTCTACAAAAAATAACAAATATAAGGAGAAAATTAAGTTAGTTTAAAACCTGCATGCCATAGCCTTTGGGATCACGAGAACTCCACGGCACAGGCCCTTCATTACTTCCAGAAGGTTGGTTCATCCATGCCGGACAACCACTCCCTCCCATATTAGGATTGGGTCCAGGATTAGAAGTGTTAACATTTGGATTGTTACATTCCTCCGTATTTCCCTGGCTTGCTATGTTTCCAAGAATACCCAACCCAGCTTGACCAAGAGCAGCTGCTACAACAGCAGAACTCAAAGGTAATGCAGCCCCCAAATTCAGGGCACCCATACTCAAAGTAGGTGGAGTTGTATTCATAGTTTTGCCACCACCTTGATTAGGATTTGGATTGCCTAAACCCAGGGTTGTGCTCAACTGAGCTAAATTAGGGATATTATCCCCTCCTCTCATTGGCACATTATATGGTGATTGATTCCAAATATTTGCATTGCTACCATGATGCCCACCAGGGCCGAATGCAGCAGGATTGTGAGGGAATGTTGTCATTGGACGACTGTCACCTTTCCTGTTGTGGTAATTAGCATTAGCATTTTTGGGCACAGCACTGCTAACAAGCAGACTGGCACCCTTTACAATATGGTCTTCTCCACACAAACTTTGAGCCACCTCAGGATGTAAAAATGTAACAAATGCAAATGCTCTAAACGGTTTGGGGATAAAAACGTCTGTTACCTCTCCATATTTTGAGAAATACTCTTCAAGGTCATCAGCAGAAATGTCTTCAGTACATCGTCCAATAAATACTTTTCTGTTCAACTCAGCAACTTGTCCATCCTACAAGAGAAAGCCACAAAAAATTAAAAGTCCTTAAAATTATCCCTATAATTTTCAAAAAAATATTTCTAATGGCAAGACAATGAAAGATTAGATAAAAATAAATAAAGACAGAGAGTGAACAAGAATTAAAGAAAGCATTTCTATTTCTTTGATTTTAAACTTTCTCCAAGCATCCTTGATATGTTATGCGGGGAGATAAGATATAAAGAGAAGATAAAAAAAATAAGCAGAATAAAACCTTGGATTACACAAACATTAATAGCCCAATTATTTTGGAATTAGATAGTATCAAATAGATTCCTATAAACATCAATAGTTGTATTTAAATATTTTTTCCTACATACTTCATGGACATTTGGCAATCTCAAAGAATCATTGTTTTCAATTTCAGTATAAATCAATGACTTTTCCTTCATGCTCCAGAACAGAAACAAAACAAAATATCAAGCTATTACTTTAAGAGTGTTTCCCAATTCTTAGTTCGCTCATTACTTACTTTTAACATATCAATTACATAATACCACAATTATTCATGCAAAATTTGTGTAATTAATAAATTTAATAACAATAAAATTTGCTCTTTCCTTGGTTACATTAAACACCATAATTCCAGAGTTTAATTTCATTTATTGTATGAGCCAACTTTAGTCTAAGGCTGATGAAGTGAGCTGAAAATGAATATCAGAACTACTGCTAAAATAATGCAATAACATTAAAATTAATTACTGTAACACTATTTCTCTCATTTAAAAAAATAAATATTGCAACATTTCATACTATTTAAAAATAATTTTTCGTTCATATAAAGCAAATTTTATATATTCCACACACCTTTGAATTAGGAATTCTCACATCACACCATCGACCATCAATCAAATGTCTTTTTGATAAAGCTCGAGCTTGAGCCTCATAATTGCTGAACCTTATGAAACCAAAACCTTTGGATGAGCCAGTCTTAGGATCTTTCTTCACCTTAAAAAAATATTTTCTTTTATAATGAAAGCAATGTGTGTGTGTATATATATATAGAGAGAGGTCTAAGTAGAAATCGAATTATCTAATTTAATAATTCAATTTACTATCTATTTAATACAGGGTATCTGCTACATTTTAGATTTTCAAATTCATGACTTACTCCAAGAATTTTTCATGACTTTACAAAGTTACTATTTTCTCCGACAAAAACACAATAGTAAATTTAAAAAAGCATCATAACATTAATTGAAATTATAGGTGTAACCAAAACTGCTATACTCTGCATCTTCATATTTATAGGTATTTAATTTAAAAAACAGAGAAATAAACATTTGAAGCAATAAAATAGCTCAAAAGTAATTTTTTTTCTGCAGAATTACATTCTTAAGATACTTTTCTTGTTCAAGGGAAAGGAGAGAAATATTTCTGATCTCATTTCGGAATAAAAATAATTCACCAATCACTGACTTGCTTCAGCTAGAATTTTAAATTGAAAAAATAAAAATCTGAAATCACAGAAGTTTAAAAGATAATTTGCTCTAGAAATGACACTTTTCCCCCCCTTTTTTTTTCTATTTTTAAACAAACACAATTTTTAAAGAACATGATAAAAACATTTTATATTTTAATAAAATATAAACGACAGGGATGAGATTAGCCAAAACGCAAAAAAGCTGAATTTCCACGATAGTAAATTTTACGCAAGCGCAACCCTTTTTAATAATAAATTCCAGACAGTTTAAGGTAATAAACAATGTGTTGACATACAATTGTGTACTAATCTATTATTATAAAAACGATTACATTTATACTTAACATTTAGTGGAAAAAAAATTACCAATTGAAAAAATAAAGCTGGAAATTATATTTTTCCTCAGTTCACATAAGAGACAATTACTACTTGAAAAACTACCTGGTTTAGCAAATTAAAACTACTGAGAATATACATTAATATTTCATTTCTTTNTAAAAAAAATTAGTAAAACAAAGTAATAAATTAAAATAAATGTTTAAAAACAATATGCAATTAGAGGATGGTCCCTCAGTTAAAAATTTACGCTTAGGAAACTCAATTAATTCTTATCTTTATTAAATTAAATAAATAAAAGGGAGATGGAAATTTTGAGCTAAATGAAGCTTTGTGGTTCTTCACTGCTCTGAGGATCAACATGAAAATATGTACTTAGTGAATGGTCCCTCAAGTTAATTAAAAAATCATGGTACTAATCTATCAATAGAAAAGCGCAAGAAGGCCATTAGCTTGCCATTGACGAAGGCACTTCAATAACGATGAAATTAACAAGAGAAATAAAATTTTCTTTTGCAATTAAAATTTGGCAATGTTTAGTTGGTTCCCGAAAATTCGAGAGAAGTTTCGGTTTCATTTCAGAGAGTGGAAAATGAAGCCTGAAACTGAGAATATGCAAAATGAAGCAGAGTTGCATATGAGAGTGCAAGAATCCTTCCCACTGAATCCAGAGCAATCCACCACATGGCAGTAGCTTGGTTGCTGCAAAATTGTGACTTGGCGATACCCAGGGGAAAATATCCTTTTTGGCGCAGATTAGCGCAATTTAAGCCAATTCTTTCAATTTGGAGCAGGCTTCCACAATTGGCGCAGCACTGTTGTAAAGTATCAAATAGATTCCTATAAACATCAATAGTTGTATTTAAATATTTTTTCCTACATACTTCCTGCGACATTTGGCAATCTCAAGGAATCATTGTTTTTAATTTCAGTATAAATCAATGACTTTTCCTTCATGTTCCAGAAACAAAACAAAATATCAAGTTATTACTGAAAGAGTGTTTCCCAATACTATTTCTCAAATTTTTTTAAAAAAAAAAATTCATATTGCAACATTATTTCATACTATCTAAAAATAATTTTTTGTTAATTTAAAGCAAATTTTATATATTCCACACACCTTTGAATTAGGAATTCTCACATCACACCATCGACCATCAATCAAATGTCTTTTTGATAAAGCTCGAGCTTGAGCCTCATAATTGCTGAACCTTATGAAACCAAAACCTTTGGATGAGCCAGTCTTAGGATCTTTCTTCACCTTAAAAAAATATTTTCTTTTATAATGAAAGCAATGTGTGTGTGTATATATATATAGAGAGAGGTCTAAGTAGAAATCGAATTATCTAATTTAATAATTCAATTTACTATCTATTTAATACAGGGTATCTGCTACATTTTAGATTTTCAAATTCATGACTAATTCCAAGAATTTTTCATGACTTTACAAAGTTACTATTTTCTCCGACAAAAACACAACAGTAAATTATAAAAACCATCATAATAACATTAATTGAAATTATAGGTGTAACCAAAGCTGTTATACTCTGCATCTTCATATTTATACGTTTTTAATTTAAAAAACAGAGAAATAAACATTTGAAGCAATAAAATAGCTCAAAAGAAATTTTTTTTCTTTTTACCGCAGAATTATATTAAGATACTTTTCTTGTACAAGGGAAAGGAGAGAAATACCTCTGATTTTTCTGTTCTCATTTCGAATGAAAAATAATTTGCCAATCACTGCCTTACTTCAGCTAGAATTTTAAATTGAAAAAATAAAAAAATAAATAACAAAAATTCTGAAATCACAGAAGTTTAGAAGATAATTTGCTCTAGAAATGACATTCTTCTTCTTTTTCTTCATTTTTTGAACAAACACAATTTTTAAAGAACATGATAAAAACATTTTATATTTTAATAAAATATGACTGAGTGGGGAGTTTGTTACAAATTCAGATATTCGGAACACCAAGAAATTGTGGGAGGGGTAAATTCCAATTTAATAATTAGAATTTTCTGCGAACTAAATTCATGTCTTTCCAGATGCGCGGATACCCTATTAATAATTTTAAATTAATTGAAAAGAAAACTAAATTTAATGAATATCTTAAGAACATATGTTACTAATAACAATAATTTTTAATATAACACTAATTTACAACAAAGAAATACATCAGATTAATATAAATTGAATGGTAAAGAAACTGAATTATGAACAAAAACATTAAGGATTTAATGCTAAATTATTGAAGAAATTCAATGTTGATTTACTTATAAAAATAAGACAAGAAGCACTTGAAAAGAAAGAATACTAATATCAATATTTACTTGTGCCATCAAAACTTCTCCAAACGATTCAAAATACTGGCGAAGTTCTTGCTCAGTTGTTTTCCAAGGCAAGCCTAGAACTATTAAGTCGGAACATTTGTGTTTGGTTTCCATTCTTTTTGTTTTAGCAGAGCTATTCTCAAGTTGATCACAAGATTTTCTCTTATTTTCAGTCACTAAATTAATTCAATAAAGAATATTAGTAAAAAAATAAAATTGTTGATCTTTTATGAGTTAAAATTTTCAAGAAAGATTGGTTTCTTCGTATTAAAAACTGTTCCTAAACATAACAAACTAGTTAAAACCATTTAAAATTTAGGAGGATAGACCTTACATCCTAATGAATTTGATGTTTATTAGATATGTTTAAAACATATCATTAAACAAAATTATGTGTTTTGAATCAAAATTATATACATATTTAAGTAAAAATTACTATTTCTGATAGAATTTTTTTTTCCATACCAGTTTTATAATTTCTTAATAATTTCAATAAGTTCTTATCTTTAAAAATATTTCAAACTAAATCAATGAAATTAAAACTGTCACAATTATTATTTTGGTTTTGATATTACAGAAATAATGTTTTGCTATAATAAATACATTTCTTCTTTTGTAATACATTTAGTCACACAACTGAACAAGATCGACTAACTTTATAAAAGCATTGTTTATACTGATCTCTTACTACATACAAATATTTGCACAAAAATTTTTTATTAACACTTTCCTTCTTACATGTGATAAATTTAAAAGAAAAATAGCATTTAACATTTTACTCTAAACACTGTTTGCATTATCCTAATTAAAATATTATCAATACATAATTGTTAGGTTCCTGATGTGGCTGCTTTTATTCATTGTTAAAAGTTTGTCAACCTTACTACCCTGTTCATGATTTGTATACAAATAAATGTAATTCCAAAATATTCATAAAATTATGTCTTTAACTCATTTCTGAGACTGAATGTGCAGTAAATGTCTCTGTTTAATTAGAAATCTCAATAGATTTTGGTTTACTATAGATCTATTGAAATTACTGTAGTTTTTCAAAACTAGGTTTAAAATAAAAGGATACTGTAGTTTTTAGATAAAAGGATTAATAATTTGAAAAATAAGTATAACAGTATAAAAAATTTTAAAAAACTAGAAACACAATATCCTTAATCAAAAGTCAAATTTTCTCTACCTCATACATCTAAAATACAATTTTTAAGAATTAACATGCAGTTTATAAATTTTCTATGATTACAGGCCTGAGAATAAAAAATAGAATTAACTTCTTTATCTGTTTACCCATCAAAATAAGGTTTCCTAAAAGAAATAAGACATATTTCATATATAGACCTGAATTATTGTTAGCTGCTACAGACATTTGTTTTAAAATTTATAGTGATTGATATTGCAGAAGTAGTTCCTGCATAGTTCATAGGATTACATTTATACTNGAGGCTTTTCAGCCATGAAAAGAATAAAGACATGTGCTCGAAATAGGATATCTGAAGGAAAACTGAAAACATTAATGATGATTACACTTGAAGGGCCAGATATGTCAAATTCCCAAGATGTAATTATAAGAGCACATAAGATATTTCAGTCTTGTAAAATACGTAGAGGGGGAAGCAGTGTAAATAAGTAGAGAGGGAAGCACACTAATAAAAATATTTTACATAAATTTAGATTTTGTTTTATTTTATTTTTCTATTATATTTCAATATTAGCATATTACAGCATTATAATTGTTATAATTCATGTACTAATAATCTATTAAGTATTTTTCAGAAAGATTATATTTGATTAAAAATTTATGTAAAGGACCCATTTTTTTTCAAAAGGACCCAGTTTTTTAAAAGTCATGGGTCCCAGGGACCCGGGATTTTGAAAGCCTAGTGTCTTCCCTGCTACAGATATTTGTTTTGAAATTTATAATGATTAATATCGCAGAAGTGGTTCCTACATAGTTCATAGAATAAAATTTAAGATAACAATATTCAATTCCACTAGTTATTTCATTTAAAAATAACATATTTATAAGGTATGTCTAAGGATGGTTATTAAATTAAATTTAAATGGGTACAAGGGGGCGCCACTAGTAATGCTTACATACAGATCAAACAAGAAAAACAAACAATGCAATCTTCGATTTTATAGAAGTTTATATAATATCATGACAAAAAATAATTCAATTCAGATTGAGATTCTGATAATGCAAATAGCATATGCACTAATATCCATCTATTTTAAAATTGCCAAGGTAATACTCATTAACCCTAAAAACAAAGCTTTTGTTTATTTACCTTTTGGGAAAACACAGATATACAAAGAATCATCCCAACCACTTCCAGGTGGTGGGACCAATTTTCCATCTGATACTCGGACACCTCTCATTGTTCCAGTAGCAGGATTTCGATATTTTAAACCACAGGTACCAGGAAATTGCGCAGCCAAAGTAGTTAGCAGAAGTGACCCATCTTCTTCACAAGGTACTTCAATGGGTTCTTCTCCCTCTTCTTCTGCAACTTGAACGTAATTCAAACTCATTTTTGATATTCGCTTAATATTTATAAATACAAATTTTCAGCTTTATAAAAATATTTAAAAAAAATACAACGAAACTTGCACATGCTAACCAAAAACACAACAAATCATCCTATGGCGTCGTTCTTGAGTGACATATCTTCTTCGAGAGTAAATAATAATTAATAAATTGGCTTGTGCATAGCGTATTGTATTTTAAGTAAGCTAAAAGCTTAGATAACTTCTATTCAATAAATCTTTTAAGGGCCATTCTTGCTTTACGCAATTTGTATATGCGATCGTGCGTAAATGCGAATCACACGGACGGACACGAATCGCAATTTGTCTTGCTGAACATTTGCACACGCGTCTTGCAAACTGACGAGAACAACAGACTGTTACAGAAATATTCTGCTATGGAGTATATTAAATTATAGAATTTATAAGATTAAAATGAGGATGTAAAAAGGAATGGTGAAAAATACCTGCATTAAAAGTATAATTAAATCCAAACAATTTTAAAAAAAAGTGGCAATACAAGTCAAATTACACTTAAATGAAGATACGAAAGAATAATAGTTATGTGTAAGAGACTTTGTCATTATAAAATATGTATACATTTAAAAAAAATCTTTTTAGGTGCAAAAAGAAGTTTAAAAAGCCTCAGCTCCATATTCTATTCTAGTACGAGTAATACAGTAAATTCCACAGCAACAACAATACTCTTGAACTAACAACATTGCAAGAAATAGAAGTGGAAAGTGCTAAGGGTGTAAACAAAACAACCGATACTTAATTAAACCTTTAAAATATTTATAATTAAAAATATATATAACGCAATCTTATATTCTTTTTAAAGGATTCTTAAATATTTTTAAGATTGTTAAAACGAGATACTATGCTCTAAACATTATTACGAAATAGTAACCATTATATATATATATATATATATATATATTAGTTNAATAAGAACTACACAAGAGATAGGACACTTAAGCAAAGGCAAGGATAATGGAAAGAATTGACTGGCCAGTGTAAAAACATAGCCAACACGACAATTTCCTTGGTCTTGAAAACTAATTCATCGCCAAACTAAAACACCTCCTTCTTCTTTGTACATTCGCTTTACTGAGAAGGTATTTATAAGTTAAATACATTTAAGCATGAAAAACTTTTAATACATGTTTCAAGATAAACTTTTCTTTTTATGCAACATTTATTTGTATTTGTACGCGCATTTAAACTGCAATTAATTCCAAAATAGCGAATAACTACTTTTCAAAGGCGGAATATTACATTCCCTACCCTTCCATGCCGTGCCAACTTAAGGTGAAACGTAGTATAGAGAAAGTAACATCAGATTTGGAGAAAGTAAACATCCAGGTTTGGAGAAAGAAACATCAGGTTTGGGGAAGAAACATCAGATTTGGTGAAAGAAACATCAGATTTGGAGAAAGTAACATTATTTGTAGAAAGTAGCATAATCAGATTTAGAGAAAGTAACATCAGGTTTGAAGAAGGCAACATCAGGTTTGGAGAAAGTAAAGTATCAGGTTTGGAGAAAGAAACATCAGATTTGGTTAAGAAACATCTAGTTTGGTGAAATAAACATCAAGTTTGGAGAAGAAACATCAGGTTTGGTCGAAGAAAAATCAGATTTAGAGAAAGTAACATTATTTGTAGAAAGTAACATCATCAGGTTTAGAAAAATTGACATCATGTTTGGAGAAAGTAGCATAAGATTTGGAGAAAATAACATCAGGTTTAATACAAGAAACTTTAGGTTTGTACCCTAACAAAGTTAGGAAGTATATCAGGTTTGGAGGAAAAGAAACATATCTGGTTCGGAGAAAGAAACATCAGTTTTGGAGAAAGTACCATCAGGTTTGAAGAAAAAAAATATCAGATGACATTATGAAAAATATCAATGGTTTTAAGTTTGAGGTGCTAAAGGAGAAAAAAAAAGAACAAAGCGAGGTACTTAAAGAAGAAAATTTGTTTCGTGCACTTTTATAAGAAATCAAGAAAAAAAATCGTAAGACAAAAAAACTTTAAAAAAAATTAAAAATAAACGCACTTTGTGCTGAAAACTGCTTTGCTTCTCAGAAAAAAAATAATAAAAGTAAAAATGAAGAAAAATTAAATATTGTTTTTGTCATTAAATTACACACTATCTTGAAATTTTTTTACAGGGACGGAATAGTTTGGTTGAAGCCTCCATTCGATTTATGTTGAGCTTAAATACAGAGATAGTCAAAATGCAGAGCATTAGATAACTACCTGTACATATCAGTCAGTACTAATCAGGGCCGGATTTACGTATAAGCTAAATAAGCTGTAGCTTGGGGCCCCGAGATGGCAAGGGGCCCCAGATCCAACTTTTTCCTTCTTTTTTTAAAGTTTTATTCGGAGCTGGAGCCCTCTCAAGCCTAAAATAATTTTTTTTTTCTTTTTTACATTGGCGAACGCTTTTCAAAATCTAATAGAAGTGTTTACAAATATAAAATAATTGTTACTCTTCACTTTTCTAACCAAAAGAGCAATAAAAAGGCCTTTTGACTGATGAAAATATCCTGTAGCTTTCGTAGCTACCAGTGATGGGAGTAGTCCATGGATCCTAAAAAGCGGTACTCTAGACTCCATGGAGTAGTCAAATAGCTGCCTCAATTTTACACTGTGGGAAATGTTTTCAGCTTCTTTAAATTGCTGTGGGCTCTTTTGTCCTTCTCCACAGAAACACCCTTTTGTCTGATTTCTGGGCAAAAAATTTCTAGGGCTGTG